TGATGGTAGTCCCTGTCGGGATTATCTATACCGACAAGTCGCACTTCCAAAGCCAGGTGAGCAAAAAGTGCTTCGATCCTCGATGTGGCCTCACCGGTCCCGTACAGGTCTTGGTGCAGTACGGCAAACCGATAGACACTGAACCATACGCCCAGCGGTATCTTGCGAGCAACGACCCTCACGCGGAAGTTAAAGAGCTGACAGCTGAAATAGAGACCAGGCTGACGAAGTTGACTGTAAACGCCAAAGACTGGTGCGTTGCCCCATTCGCGCGCCTGTGACTCTAACTTACAAGCTCATCAGGGACCATTGCTTCGCCGGCACTATGGCTAGAGAAATATACCATCCTGAACTGGAGCTATTTACACGAGACAACTATGTCGACCTCTCCCAAGCGTAGGTCGTTCCACACTCCGCATCCGTGGCCGGTAATGCAGCTTTCATACAGTCTCATGGATCGCTTCGATGACGGGAATAGCCAAGAAGCTGTAACAAAGCTCGTGAAATACTCCGGCATTCTGTACCACGCTGGCATCTCGCACGGCTCTCTTGTGGCCCTTTATTCAAGTTCTGAGAAGCCTTCCCGCGCAGTCAGCATCGGCGTATTCCTGCGTGAAGCCATCACGACGGTACTGCACCCACGCTTCCTATGCTTCTTCCCCATCGGCCTCCTGCATATCCCAGCTTACATTGTCGGCTCGTGCGCAGCACGCTTCCTTGCAGACCCTCAGGAACCGGAGACTCTTGCAGAGCGCAAGGCCGTATGTGGCGGAGTGACCTTTGGTGCGACGGCCGCGCTTTTGGGCAGGAGCATCACGCGTGCTGTATACGAGATCATCTTCGCCTCTCTGCAGTACGGCCGCCTGAGTCGGCTTCCGATATTGATAACAAAGGTTTGCTCGTGGTTGTTTGATGTAGGGCAAAGATCGAGCGCCGCCGCATTCCTCAGACTACTGGGCATGATTTCTGTTATCTACTGGACTACCTGGTTGCTATTCCGCTGGCACAGAGCCCTTATCCAATGTGAGTACTATCAGCGGACTCTCTACACAGCTTGCCAGCTCACATTATCCCGAAGGGAACTACCAGCGGTATGTCTGACATGTCATGTGCAGCCAGTCGCTAAACTATTCCACAGCATCGACCGCATCCTGACGGCCTGGAAGATTCTGCTAGGCGTCTGGATCCCTCCATCACGCGCACTCTCATCCGCCGAGCTCAACCGTGTAAGCCGCCCGCCTCAACCCAAGCCAAATCCGTTCGTCAAGCATCGGAACGTCGAGGCAGCCGACACAGCACCTTCGCACGCTCCTGCCGCCGGAGTCCGCCAGGCTTCCGTGCCGTCGTCTCGCGCCCTCATCAGCAGCCTCTTCGCTGCCCGCGCAGAAGCTGAGACGGCCGCCCGAAGCCTCCTCGCCGACCGACGAGCCACTTCTCAATAGTGGGGATTTTCCACCGTCCTGGGTGTCACCCCCGAACCACATAGGATAGATGCATCTCCCACGTCTAGACGTCCTGTGGCTTGTATCTCATGATCTCGCTCCGCGACTGTATCTCTATGTAATAGGTGGTCTTGGTTCAAATCGACGCTGATTATCCTGCTATCCATCGGCTGTGCCTCGCTTCCGGTCCGCACGAGGCCATTTCGGCTAGAAAAGGTGTCGAAGACGCACATCCCGAAGGAATTCCTACTATACCCAGCTGGCACCATGCACCGCCACTGCATGGATCAGAACCCACGCAGTGCCCGTACAGGCGAGAGTGGCCTTATGAGGAGGGCCTGCACCGCCTCGCTGCACGAATCCCATCGCCTGGACGCATCTGGTGGGAAGATGGGCCTGCTGAGACGACCTGCTGGCCATCTCTGCGAGCTTCGATGTGTTCCCATGGTATTCAAGCGTCGCCGCGCGAGTTTCGCTAGCAGTCGGCTGCTAGGCATTTCCTGCTGGAAATAGCTGATAAGGGCCCTTTCCTGTGAGAGGCTTCGGACGCCATAAAGGTGCACCGGGCCCACATCGCGGTACTGATCATCCAATTCTGTCCCGGGAGGCCTTTGTGTGGACAGACGTTGAATGGTTTCTGTACAGCCGGGCTGGTCGGACTGATGCGAGATAACCTACATAGCAGGGACGTGCGACATATGGATGTACAGCGGGGCTCCGAACAAGTAAAAGCTACTAGGTACTATTCTATGTAAAGCAAAATGGACAGGAGGCTGTATAATATGGACAGATAGCAGGACACCAGACGATTAGTATAGCATAAACAGACATGTAGAGCAATAACTGAGAGCATAATTTGGTGGACGGAAGGGTCGTGGGGTACAATTAGCGGGTATTACGAGAGCCCCACAGAGCGAAGATGTTCGTAGCGAGACCACTGACGGGCCGCGGAGCACGGATCGAGGATGGCTCTCCGGTCGACGTCGTGGCGGTAGAGGTGCTTGGTCCAGGCGGCGGCATGGACAGCAAGAGAGAGCTGCCATCGAGTAGCATGCTGCTGCTCGACTGTGTGAAGCTGCCAAGGTTCTGCGGCCTGCTCGGTACACGATCATCTATGGCAGGCGAGAGAACTTGCCGCTCGCTGTGGAATGAGACAGAGGAGGTCAGCGGTGGAGGCGACGCGAAGGTCACATTCGAATGACGTCTGCGTCGTGCAGAATCGGTAGCTTGGGACGTGGATGACACGGTGTTCTGTCGCAGCGCCGATCTGGGGTCCCTGCCGTCACGCGCTCCTGAGGAAGGCGCGGGGTTGAGCGACCCGGCGGAGCGCTGCGCAACAGACCCGTTATCTGGCCCCAGTGCGGCGCCGACGTTTTGCGCACGAATCTCCCACGACTCGCTGTGGAACTCTGCGCGGTCATCGGCGCTTGCGAGCGACATAGGCCGCGACCGCCTGCGGCTGTTTCGTGCCTCGGCGACAAGTTGCATCAGCGAGCGGTTGACGTGCTGTAGGTCATCTTGGTCAGAGACCTGCTGATGGGTAGAAGCGCTGCTGGCGAGCATAAGTCCAATACCAGCGGATGCAGACGCTGGTTCGAGAGCACGTGAGATATCGCCTGAGTCGTGCGCCAGGCTCACGCGAGAAGCCAAGGCATATGTATTGTCGGAACTCTGAGATGGACCCTGAGGTGGCAACGAAGGGTCTGAACCAGGCCAGGGACGAATCGGTCGGTCCGAGTGTAGTCTGGGAGTATCCCGGCCGCTGCCGTCATTGTCGACAGCGTCACCGAACGTGGGGTCAGGCAGCCCAGCTAATCGCAAGTCTGATATGCTGGAGTGTCGAGAAGCAGAAGGTCTCGCAACTACATCCAAATTCGCGATAGCTCCAGGTAAACTCATTAGTTCTTCTAGGAGAGACGCACGAGAACTACGTGCGCTAGATACAGTGCCCCAAGACGAAGCAGCAGAAGGTTCAGGAGAAGCATCACTTCGCCTCTGAATCACCGGTGCAGGCGATCCGGAGGTGCGACCAGGGGGTGACGAGATACCAAGACCATTAAGATTACTAGTTGCGGAAGTTGGTGTAGATGCATTAGGTTGAAGAGAAGAGTCGGCGTGGGCAGTTCGAAGGGACGATGAAGACGGATTAGAACGGGAAACCAGAGCATGATAGACATGTCCCCAGGTACTTTCGTGAGTTTCGATCTCCCCAGATTGGATAGCCATTGCTCGTGCTGCGCCTTCGACTGTTCTAGTATTCGTAACATCGACCTGTTGAGATCCCTGGCTATATAACATTAGTCCAGCAGCTGCGGGAGTTTGGGTATTGTCCTGCTCCGAGACAAGCGAACGTTCTCCAGGAGGTGACGTGGGAACATAGCCAACTCCAGGAATGTAGCCATACTGAGGACTGCGGTTATGGTGTGGTATCGTGGGGGCCCTGGGCGTGACTTGATCATATGACGAGGTCTGAGCTTCAATAGCGGAGCGCTGGGAAGTTTGCCGTACATCGGGGCGCATTGCCAGATCCGGTTCAACGACACGTGCAGAAGACCTCGATGAAACGGGGGGAGGCATGGGAGGCCGTGAATTAATGGAGGCTGAGGTCGGATTAAATTCACGGAACGTGAAAGGAGCGGGCAGAGGGGGGATAATTTTCTTGTACTCGGGTGCTCCAGGAATGACAACTGACGGGCGAGTAGTTCTTCTAGGCCGGGCTTCGTCGAGAACGGTAGAGATACTAGGAGAAGTATCGATTGACCGCTCAGTCTCAGAATGAAGATATGCCGCATCGGTACGAGTGCTGGGGGAATGTACGGAATGAGCAGAATGGGAGAGTGAGGTTCGTCGGCTCATAGACGTTACGGATCGGTCAGGGCGCTCTCTTGAAGGTTGCTGCACAGGATAAACTTGAGGATTCGTCCGGTATTTGGCGAGTTCCTCCCGGAACTGGGAATGTTCAGCCCGCATTCGCATAAATTCGACTTCCATCTCCGCACGGGACCTCTCTGCACGGGTAAGCTGGAAGAGAAAATCAGTGAGAGTATTACCACAACTGAACGCCGCAGAGCACCTTCCTGTTGAATGTGATGTATGAGCGAAATACTAACATCAGTACGAGATGTCCACTTACTCTTCACATTCCTCTTCTGTACGCTGCAAGCGATCCAACAGGTTGTCTTCTACAGTGCGAGCAGTTTGCAAGTCAAGATCTCTCAGCCGGATCTGCTTCCAGAGCTCTTCTCCTTGCTGTTCCATCTCCTCGTGGGTAACAGTCGCTTCCCGGTGTAACGCGATCGAACGGTGTAGTGCGGCGACCGCATTGCGAAGCGGCCGGTACTAAGAAAGGGTGAGATCGCTTGCTCATCAGGGCACTTGCGTCATGACTGACCACGGCTTCGCTGGGACCATGAGTAGCTAGCCAAGCATTAACTTCGCTGATCGCGTCCACGGCATGCTGCTCAGGTATGTGGTCTCCGGATACAAGCGCTAAGCGGCGAAGATGTCTGTTGACCTGAAGAATAGGATTGTCGTCCTCTATCTCGGCGGTACACGGGTCTACATGCAACTTCTTGACGCGCTCCGGAATATAGGCTTTCCGACACAGCGGGCAGTTGCTTGGATGCGTAGATTGCAGGCATCTAAGAAAGATAGTGTGAGTGAACAGCTCAGGGTTACCCTACCGCGGGACGTACTGCAAGCAGAAGACATGCCCGCAGGGGATTGCATGTGGCGTTAAACCTGGGTTCTGCCAGGCGAAAGGCTCGAGACAGACATCACAAGTAGAAGAAGGGTGTACGATGAGCATCCAAACCCTTCACCGCAGCTGGGCGGCACCAGGATTCTAGGACTTTGCACGGGGGTATCTCCAGAGGTGGGCGACTAGGACAATGAGGTGTAAGCCGGCGACATCGCAGGACTCGCGTCCTCGAGGTTGTGACGGTGACAGTCACAATCTTTTAAAAAGGAAATGCCACAGTAACGTCAGACCTCGTCACGTCCTCTACTCGCGCAAGGCCTGCCTCTCCGCCGTCTGACCCTGCTCAATCTTCGAGGAACATACCATAACACACTATAGGTCACACTCTGGTGTTTGGCTTGATATCCTCTGCGTGTTGCGGAAGTCGCCAACTCTGCACAGGCTGGACCAAGTCGCCGCTCCCCTCTGAAGGATGAAAGCGTTATCGACAAAGCTAGGCCTTATGGCTGCCAATTCTATGAACGTTCTTTCGAACGTTTTCATTTAACAGAGGGCGGAAATAGTGAGGAATGCATTTGGTAGACCCTTGTACTGATATCCACTAAGCCTTTTAGCCTTTCCACGGACTCTTTCCAGGCAATTCTGAACAACATTGGACGGTCAAATAGCGGCCCACCCTGACCTCCAAGAACCATTCGGATAGAAGCTGCACCTGCGTGTTTCCCAGGAATGAGCCACCTCCCCCGCTCTCGTTCGGCTGCGGTGCTCAGGATGTTCTCCCGGGCAACTGTTACTTCGGCCGTACACCGCAAGGTTTACCGAGCTAAGGGTTCACATACGGGTCGACAAGCATGCCTCACTCTTTCTCAAACGTGCCTCCTCCATCAGACCGCCATCGTGTAACCTCGTGCCTTTTGTCGCCTGACGCGCCCTCGCTCCCGAGGTCTCGCCTACTTTTCAGCCTTCTCCACTATACCCCCAACATGTATATAGCCTTGCCAACTGGGGGGTTTCAGACAGTACTTTTTAACATCAGCCCACTCCATCGCTTGCTAGTGTTCCGTCTCTCAGCGCAACTCCTATTCCTCCACGGAGCGTTCATTTCGATCGTGATGCATGGGAAGCGGAATCTGCTTCCAACGGGAACCTTCTCCGTGCAGTATCGCCTTTGGCCGCCACTCAAAACTTCCGAGGGCTCGTGTCCGAACGCCTGCTTTGTTTGCTCACTGTTTCGGACTGTTCCTCAGACCTTCCCGTCGCCCAATGCCTGTTGAATTCTCAGGTGTAATATGGATGAAATTACCTTTCCTCGCGGTTTGATAAGTGTACGTGGCATACTCTCAAATTTTTGTCTTGTCCGTCCACTCTGACGTGCCTGCCGCCGTGCTTTCTACGGTTAGGACGCGTTTTGTGGCTGCTCGAGACATGCGCCAGAAACAAGGCTGCGTAGTGCTTATAACATGTGCTATGTGTCGCAATAACATCTGCTGTCATCGCTTGCACTCCTTACCCAGGGGTATTATAATTGACCGCAATTGCGCCGCATAGATAACTGTACACGTTTAGACCACGAGGATTGAGAATCGCCCCGAACTCCGAGTACCCATGGTCGTCCTCCACTTCTAGGGGCTGACTTGTGCGCATGCTTTGCCCCCCAGTGTCCGGCAAATGCACCCTTTCTCGACATTCAGGTCGATATGGGAAAGGATGGCACCGGAGACGCGCCGTGTCCGCCATTCTCGCAAGGTCCGGGGGCTTATCGTTCCCTGACCTCATCCAGCAAGCCTTGCTTTGATGGTCAATCCGTCCAGGACGCTCCGAAACTGTTCCAGTCTGTCGGGCAACAGCTGCCGTGCTTGACAGAAGCAAGAAGTCTCCGAACACACCCCACAATACATCCCCAGATAGAGTCCCGATCTGTCACTGACGCCTCGTGCACCACCGGGCGACATTACTGCAGCATGCCCTTCGGCTCTATTGCTACAGGCCTGGCCGGCACGCGAATTGTGCTAGGCGATCAGAGCTAGCTTAAATCTCATGGGACCTCTCCCCGCCCGCTGCAGACCCCCGTCGTCGACCATGATCGTCCTCCATCCCAACTCAGTGTGCGATGTCTGTCTGGAAGGCTATGGCGGCCCCAACGTTCCTCATGCCATAGCCTGCGGACACATTTTCTGTCTCAGGTACAGCCGATGCCCTTGTACTTCGTTGTCGTTGTTGCATGCTCACCGCGCCTTTGTCCTCCGTCCCGACAGGTGTCTGCGGTCGTTGACAAGGCAGAGCTGTCCCCTCTGCCGGACGGCCTTCCAGTACGACGACGTCCGGAAGCTGCACATCGACAAGTGCAGCCGTCCGAGTACGCCCCTTCACCATTCCTCGGCGCCGGGGTCGCCGGACTCTGGTTACAACGAGTTCCCCACTCCCGCCCGCGACTTCCAGACGCAGATAACCCACATTGTGTTTGACGGTGCCAAGGCGACCGAGGTCCGGGACTTCCTGGATGAGGTCCGGAGATGGCTGTCAAGACAGCCTTCCGACGAGGTATTCCTTGCCGTTCCATCTCGCTCGCGATAGACGCTTACCACTGGTACACGCAGCACGCTGACCTGCGTGCAGCTTACCTTCTCCTGTTCAAATATACCGACCTGCAGTACAAGGTCAAAGAGGAGAAGGCAACCATCATCGATCTCCGCGCCGAGTCTGAGGAGCTGAAGGAGAAGATCCGCTCCGGCGAAGAAAAGTACCAGGATCTTGCACAGAAGCGGGTAAGCGAGATGGAGAAAGCGATGAGCGTTGAACGTAATCTGCGCGACTCCTATGATCGCATGGACAAGGAGTGGAGAGAGTAAGTGTCGATTATGCCATTTGCTGCAAAAACCGTCTGACCTGTTACCCTCTTCAGGAAAGTAAGCGTGTCCTTGTACAAAGACGGTCTTAGTCTCACAGATTCTCGATCTAGTATGACGAGCGTGTTGCAGAGTGCAAACGACTTGCTGACGAGCTCAAGGAGCTTAGCGCTGAGCTGAGCGAGCTCAAGGCCCTCCGTAACCCATTACCAACACCCCCGCGTCTGGTTGAGACTCATCATTATTTCTCTTCTGAACGCACTGTCGATGAGCCGATGTCCATCGTCAACGAAGATTCGTTAGACGAAGGGGCGGAGGAGGCGGAGGAAGATGACCGCTTCCAGCTATCACCGATACCCACTACTGCCACACTGCCCGTGTCTAACCTTCCGAATCGACAGAATTTCCGGCCGCTTACTGCTGAGGACAGCGACATCGAGGATCTCAAGAGCAAACGACCGAATGCTTATATGCGACGCTCCATTGATCCCATCCAGATTAGACCTCCAATGCCGCGTATGAGCAGCACCTCGTCAATTCGCGATCAGGATGTGCCTATGTCTCGCTCAATACCCCGCTCCACCGACGTACACATGGCCAGCTGCTCATCGTCTCCAAACACCTCTTTCCAGTATGTTCCACGGGAGCGTGCTGAAGACTCTGCCATGACTTCGCCACTTGCCAGACGCTCTTCATTACGGAGACCATCCGTCAGCTCTACTTCTCAGTTCCGCGAGCAAGAAGAGCTAGAACGGTCGCGCGCACAGCAGCAGCAGCTCCGGGAACTGCTCGAGCTGCAGCACCTCCCGAACATGCCCAACTTGGACGTCTTCGACCACCGCCTGGCAAAACCACCATCACCGGACAGTTCTACACCCGTAACGCGCAACCCGTCGCCAGACTCGAACTCCTCAACCAAAGGCCCGCAGCAGCCTTTCCAAAATCCCCTTCTGCAGCGGCCGGGGCTGTCCCGGGCGAGTACTGCCGCCCTCCAGGCCGAACGCGAGCGCGCTCGAACGACGTCCATGAATAAGGAGACGCCGACGACTCCTTCATCTGCCGCGCAGACGTCACCTGCGCGAGACCGAGAGTACCGCGATCCCGCGCGCGATGCATATACCCCAACGCACCCACAGCTCACTCCGCAGCCGTCGCTGTACCATCCGCGCCGCCCGTCCATCACGGGCAGCGTTCGGGGGAGGTCGAGCACCTCTCCCACTGCCGCACCCCCGCCGCCATCGGGCCTATCCCGGCAGTTCTGGGCGATGCAGCAGGAAGCACAGCGCACGCAGGCGTAGCACGCCTCGCCCGTTCCTGTTCCTGCTGACCCATGTTGTTTCTTCTCATGTTCCCTCCACTCATACCAGCATTTTGGTAGCCGCACTCTGCATCAGGACAGACTTATTCGTATTCGGCAGCGCTGTGCCTCGCATAATTCAAAGCATGTACCATACAGCTTCATGACTTTTCTCCAAATACATTGTATATTACCCAAGTCTCGTCTGAGATGACAAAACTCGTACGATCATCACCGTTGCTTCTGCATGACAGTTTGAATGCTGGACATTAAGTAGCCGGTGAGAGCTCGCCTCCCAGAGGATATTGAATGATCCTGATTCCAGGTCGCCGCGGAGAACAGAGTTGCATTCGGTCGTAAAGACACCGAACATGCACAAGACTAAGATAGTTTTTATACAAGGAGTACTGCCGGTGGGTATCCTTGCCGCGGGGGTTCGTC